TATTAAAATTACCATTAAGAGCTTGACATATTTAAAACATTTTCTTACATCTGCCAAGGTTCAGGCATGGCTTGTTGCAGGAAAGGTTTGAGAAGTTTACCAGTATAATAGACTTAGTTCTAAGTGAAAGTCTACAGAGTCAAGTAGGAAAGTAATTTTGAAACTAGAAAAACAGTAATTTGTCTGTTTTTGTGTTTATCCCTTGTTTGATAAAAGCTGTTATAACAAGGCTGCTCAACAGAATCCCCTACACCTTTTCAGGGCCTGGCAGAAAGCAGTGAAGATAAAACCGATATCTCACTCAATGGGTTGCTGAGGATAGAATGCATGTACGATAAGCGGAGTAGAGTGTTTCTTGATAAAATAATGAAGCAGAGAGGCTCAGGAGAAAAACATCTATATTTTTTGTGAGATACTAAGGCTGATCATTCTTGCCTAGTGGCTAGTTAGTTTTTCAACCTATCTCACTATCTCTATCATAGTTCTGATATGCTTGTAAAATAGCTTTTTATAAGCATATCTGATACTACAAATATACATTGAGAAATGTAAAAACTACTTCTCACAATAGGATTTACAGAATCATATTCTTTTCATGCAGACAGAAAACTCAACATGAATTTTTGGATAGAGTGTTCTTTTATAAATTATACTACATTCTAAAGGAGATTTTTATGCAAATTCCAGAAAATAAGGGGCATAACATTGCCCTTGCAACCTTGAGATGGCTATATAATCTTCCAATATTTCCTTAATATCTTCCCCAGGTGAAGTGGATACTATGATATCCTCTGATACAACCTCAAAAGTCAATTGTGGATTGGCTTATCTTTAAACTAGTCCATGTGTGCCTAAACCAAAGTTGTGTCATCCTCAAATATGGAAATAGATATGGTAAAACAAAAAAAAATATCCCAAAGAATCTCCATACTCAGAAGAAATTTCCAACCTCAAATTGGTATGGGCACTAATGTGTAGATGGTAATGTTTTTAAAGAAAATCCAACAATGATGGAAGGACTGTACTTAAATTCAACAAAAACCAGTAACTAAATTATCAGGCTATCTGAAGAATCATATAGGGACCAAAATACTAAAAGTCAGTCTGCATATTAAAACTAAAGAAAGAATCAAAGACTTCAAAGGATGAGGAAATAATGTCCCTAATTTCATATGAAAGCAAAATAACCATTCAGATTAATCAGCACAGATTAGAGTCCTATATGTCAAATGAAACAAGGGAACAAGATGCAAGCCAGCATCTGCTTCGTTGATTATAGAAACACATTCAACTCTTTTGAAAATGGAAATCTCAGCACATCTTAATGTCCTCAGAAGAAATCTATTGACAAGACAGAATTCCACAATTCAGACAAAGTGTGGCAAAATAGACTGGCTCCTGTTGGCAAAGGAGCGATGTGAGGCTGTATAATCTCCCCTTATTCATTCATACTATATGCAGAATATATATTGACAGAGGTTCAATTAGAAAAATTAGCACGTCCTTAAAACTGGAGGAAGAAACATCAAAAACCTTCACTGTGGTGATGCCCTACTCTTGTAGCTAAAAATACAAATGATCTACAAGCTCCAGTAATGAATATCAAAACATCCAAAGAATAATAGAAATCAAAGAAAAATGGGTCTAAGGTGAAATATAAATAAGATCAAACAAATGACAACAGATAACAGGCAATAAAGTTACTGAAGTGGTAAATAACTGCCATTTAGGACTGTCTATTAGCAGTAAAAGAAACAAGTCAAATAACAGATCAGCACTTAGTAGGCTAGCATGGAAGATGTGAAAATGATGATGTGACACATGTAAATGCACAAAAATCAGAATCATGCAGATAGTCTTTTTTTCAGTGACATCTTCAGCAACAAAAGTTGGACTTTGAAAGCATGATTGATGTTGGGAAAAAGTCTTTTGAGAATAGTTTATCTATGTAGGATAATAAACAAATAGCTCTACAATAAATAAATGTAGAGTTCTTATTCAAACATGACTAGGCTCAATTGATAATATTTTGGACACATTATGTGAAGACCCATTAATCTGAAAAATCTACAATGCTGGGAAAGGTGGAAGAAAAGAGAAGACAACCAGCAACAAAGTGAATGGATTTAATTACAATAGTGAGCGGGGTGTACTACTCAAAGATATAAAGGACCACTTGAGAATAGATCTATCTATTCTAGAGAAGGTCTATCATGAAATATGATGCCATATTGTTAATAAAAATGGGTAAATAAATCGTGACCCGTCAAAACCGCGGTCCACTAAAGCGCGCCCGACGAAAGCGCTTACCTGACGTCATCAGCAGTGCGACAAATACGACCGCGGAGAAAAAAGGGTGCTTTAAAAAGCGCTTTTAAAGCAAGCCGATTCACATAAAGGTAAGGGTTAGGTTTAGGGTTAGGGTTAGGGTTAGGGTTAGGTTAAGGGTTAGAGTTAGGTTTAGGGTTACGTTAAGCATTAGGGTTTAGGGTTAGGTTAAGGGTTAGGTTAAGGGTTAGGCTTAGGGTTAGGTTTAGGGTTAGGTTTGGAGGGGTTAGGTTTAGATTTACGCGTTAATTTTAAATTTACCGCTCGCAGCATGCTGTTTTCGTCGCGCTGTGATGACGTCACGTATGCGCTTTCGTCGAGCGCGCTTTAGTCTACCGCGGTTTTGTGGTGGAACCAAATAAATTACCAAAATAAGCACCATAAATGGAGAAATTCTTGAATAATAGTTTACCCCCTTGTGAACAAATTATAAACATCTAAAATTCTGTTTACCCTATCCAAGCCATTTGACCTGACATCTATCTATTATATATATAAAAAGCACAGTTAAAAGGTAAAATAAGTAGCAGAGTTAAACTTCAAAGACCTTATTATTCTTGAAATATACTTATCAGGGTTCAATTAGAGGGGACAATTTATATGTATTCTTGTTTTTTCTTTTTATTCACATTTTTTGTCTTATTTGGTTTTCTTTTTTTCTTTTTCCCCCTTTTTGGAATTTGCATTTTAACATTTTTAATAAAATAAGAACATTTATTGAAGTCAAATAAATGGAGAATTTCTTTGCAGTCAAAATGCATAGAGTTTTGCTGTGTAGGGTAATTCCATATTAAGAATTTGAATTCATGTTAGAATTTTGTATATTATCTCATCAGTATGCAATATGCAATTTATTAATGCAATCATGTGAATCTATATAACCACCAGTATTTATGCACACTTTTATTTAACTCATGCCAATCACAATATATGCATAATTTATACTGTGTAGCATTTGATTTCTAAACTGACTGAAAAGATAAAAAATATTGGTCCAGGTGTACAATGCTATAAATAAAACATTACTATGAATACATAGACATTTTTTATAATTTTAAATTCATACTGCTCTCTAGTGGAGAATCCTTTCAGTACAGATGTACTTAATCTGGAAAATAAAAATGATACCATCTTATGGTATCTAGGAAATAGGCTCAAGCATATTAGTGATAAATGTTAAAGACTGATGAACACATGTCCATCTATAGTCACTGCACTGTTACTCTCTGATCTACTTCAGTGTTGTTCTTTGATTAGTAACAGTTCTACTAATACAAAGAGGCTATCTCAGTTCTGCATGGACATGGCAGAGATTGGATCTGCTTCACCAAGAAGCAAAGATCCTTCCAGCAGATTAGTATACACATTTGTCAAGTAGGATAATATGTTCCTGAAGACTGTCATATAATTTCATTGGAACATTTTAATCAGCATAATTTCCCGATTTTGGATACATTTTAGGTGATTTCTTTAAAAGGGAATCAAGCCAGCAAAGTAGGCAGACTTTTATTAGATGATATATTTATTTTATCAGAAAACATGTAAATGTAAACAGCTTATAGACATATAAGCTTGTCAGACATTGATCAGAAAAGAAGGAGGGGGAAATGATTTCAGTTGTTTCTTTTGTTAATGTCCATAGAACTTTAAGCTTATGTTTGTTTTGCTTTATCACAAAAAAGTATAAATGAAATTATTTTCAAAACTCTTCTCAGCTTGTATAATGCTCAATCTTTTATTACTTCTTATAGTATTTTAACTGTTCAAAATTAATAGAAGTCCAGTTCAGTATTTTATTAGTGGTATGAAATAGCTTCTAAATTTACAGGAATTCCTTAGCAGTTCAGAACTGAAAAAGTCCATTTCTTAATTCAAGTTTGATTTTTTAAAATTTAAAATTCTGACATTTTTATTTCTTGAAAATATTGGAAGATGTGAAATCACAGCAGCATATGATTAGGTTTTAAGGAATCTAACATGTTGCTTTAATAATTTCTATTTCTTACAAGGTATTAAGTATGTTTTATATTTATTTCTTGGATTCAGGATTTTTAAATTATTTGAAATGTGAGGCATTTTCCTACAAGTGATGTTCATAATTAAAAATGAGAGCACTCATGAAAATTCCATATACCAAAATCAATTGTAATGAAGAAGCTAGTACATTATTAGTGAAAGTGAAATTATTAGTTAGTACATTATTTTGTGAAATGTTTCAGATGTTTCAGTTTCAGTTTTGAACAATAGTTTTAAAAAGGGGACTTTCAAGAAAAATCAAGATAATATGTTTTAGCAGGCTAGAAATTAGACTATAGGTTTTAGTCCCGCCTTAGGCATGAGAATTCTTTGGGTAATTTGGGGGGAAACTCTCTCTTTGAAATGGAGTTTCCTTGCTGGCAAAGAAAGCAAGTCAGATGTTTTCCACATGGAAAATGTATAGACATTTCAGATTACTCGGTAGCTAAAGGCAATCCATTTATTTTTCCCTTACAATCTGTGACATGCTTTTTTACACACTTGCATATTCTAAACATCCAATAAACCCAATTATATGATAACTATCATTACCACGTGAGATGATGTGCAATGGCTTTAAATGCAGCCCTTCTACTTTTTGCAGGTTGACATTCAGTATGCATATCACTCATAGTTCTTTTTTATGTTTATTTTAGAAAGAATGAAGAAGCCTGGGAGTCCTACTTCATCCCAAGACAATATATCCTATACGTCAGATTTCATGTATTTTCATGAAAGTGATGCAGAATTAACACCCAAAAACAGTGAGGAAGAGAAAGAAAGGGAGAAGAAGCACACCAGTTTTACTTTATGCAATGTATGCAACATTCAACTGAATTCTGCTGCTCAGGCACAAATCCATTATCATGGGAAATCACACCAGAAAAGATTAAAACAGCTGAGTAATGGAAACCTAAAAAACAGTTTTGGTGAGCTTTTAAGTATATTCTACTGTGTTTACATCTAGATATTCCCATAGTCTAATTTTGGAGAGAGAAGTAGTCTGATGTCTTGATTGATATCTTTGATAACTTATTAATGTAATGCACCATAAATTACTGAATTGGAAAAATGGTTCTATTATTGGTAAACAATTAATATATTTTTAAGCCAATAGAAATTAAGAGTGTCAATGATTTTTTATTATAATAGAAGGTGCTTACATAGTATTTTTTTCACTGTCTTTACTTGGAGCTACACAGTTTGGAAAAGTAGTTGAGAACTTTATACCTTTTTAAATATGAACTACACTGCAACCATATAATTGAAATAAGGATCTGTTTGAAATGAGAACCTGTTTAAGTTAATGCAAAACTTCATAGCTTCTACTGGAAGTCAAATATTTTATTTTTCTAGGATATGAACAAGCTAGAAAAAAATCTCAGTATGTAGTAGTCAGTGCAGACCCCAAAAGTTGGATAGTAAGTTTTTAAGTGATATAAAATCCAGATAGAAGGATGCAAAACCTTTTTCTCTTCATACATCAACAGTGATATTTTCCCAGTGGAAGGGGAAGTCAAAGGAAAAAAGATCCCAATTATCAAGGTATCAGTTTGAGCAGAGATGGAAAATATGGAATAATGGAAATATACTGTATTACTGAGTTGCCATACTGTCATTGCAGGATAGGAAACTGCATTTGTTTAGCAACTGTTTGAGGTTAAAATGGTCATTGAAAAAATGGCTTACAGCCTTCAAACCAGTATGTCCATGATCAACACTTTAGTTTATTAATGTGTTATTCATAATTTTTCCTTGGGATGTGTTTGAAAAATATCTAAATCAACAATAATTTTGTATGAAATTCAGACAAGAGTTTACCGCAATATAAGAAGTCCATAAGTATGCTTCTTGTTTAACCCTCAACTATTTAACTTTCAATTATTATTAATATTCTACTTAGCATTTCCTGAAGAATTGTGGCTAGCACCTATCATGCCTCCATTAATGGTGGGAGGATACTATTACTAATTTGTGGAAATTATTTAGACAGTGAAGCGGGAATGGAGAGAACATAAACATGCAGCCATCTCCAAACTTGCAGGATGAGGGTGTGTGAAAAACAGAAGTCCAAGATTTCTCCAGATATGGGAAGAGAGCTAAAAATAAAAGTAACTAATTGGAATAAAGTTTGTAGTGGTTCTGTGACCTGCACAGTGATTATCATTTGTTGTCAATCCTACTATACAGATTAGGTTGATTAGGTAGACAATTAAATCAACTCCAAGGAAGATTAAAACTAAAATACTTTTATTGAGATTTGCTTGTGTTCTTCCTTGCTATGGTTGAGTGTTTTAGGAAGGCGTAAGTCTGAGCTATTTACAAATGTTATCTGGATGTTTGATCTTAAAATATGCACTTTAAAAAAATTCCTTAGTGTCCACTTTCATCTTACAGGTTTATTTTCCTTACATTATTCAAAATGCTACTATTCCTAAATTTCAATTTTAAAAAGATTACTTAGGGTATACTTGTCCCAATTTTTGGAAATATACAGTTTAATTTATGTCTGGTCTGTAATGTAAAAGCACCTGACATCAGGGAAACAAATTTGATGAAATATTCCTTCTGTGTTGTTTCCTCAAACTGAAGCACAAACAGGGCCAGTAGTTTTTAAATCACTCTGAAAAATACTCACTGAATTTGTAAAATGTGTAATACTGTCCTGTTTGATGAATGATAAATACACTTACCCTGCAAATTTGCAATGTTAACTGTGCTTACAAAGCAGCATTATGAAAAACAATGAATGCTGAATGCAACTTTCTTTTTTAAAATATGGGTATTGTCATATTCAAGGTCATTACAGAAGACAGCCTGATCTTTAGTTTAAAGTTGAAACAGCTGAATATTTGGGATTGTCCTGGCTCAGATATTAAGCCTGGTTGTTCTAATTATTTGATTACACATTTTAAAATAGCAGATGTGCATCTTTTGGAGACAAACATGTGTATGCAATGCATTTAAAACCAAGAATAAAAATTATCTGCTCTTAGCATAAATTATAATATAGCAAATGAGTAAAAGCAAAATATCACATTTCTTGTTTGGGAAGTGGGCATTGAACAAAACAATCAACACATACCCACGGGGGATTTTCTTATTTATTGTCTATAACTTTGCAGCTTTGAAATTTATAATTAATTTAATCATCTTAATTTCAGAAAAATTAAATATGTATGTATGTATGTATGTATGTATGTACTTTACCGTTTATATTTATAGCTTTTATAAAAAGAAAAATATTACTAGGTTTATTGGCATGCTTTTGTGCCACTTGATGTGCGCAGTATACTAAAGTTCATTAAAATGGAAATTCCTTAAGTATAATTAGTTCATGATGACTGCCTCACTTCTCTATAAACTGAAGAACATGACTTTTGCAGTGATAATAATGTTCTTTTCTACTAATGATTTTCAAAATGCTTTTGCTTTCTACTAAGTGTGCAGCAGAATCATATTGGGCAGATGGTACAAATACTTTGATATCTGCTTTTCTGCTCTAATTTTCCTTTTCTTCCTCAGTTGAAAATTCCTTGTCTTGGAACAGATTTTATGATTGGTATAAGACAAGCTGACAAGACTGGAATAAACTGTATATATTGTGATTGGACAGAAGATAGATAATGTACTAAGTAGGCTAATAGTTAATGGTTGAGACTAATTGTGTATAATGTGAATGTATGGTCACTTCGACTCTGCGGTACTGCATTGTTTTAAATGTTTTAATGTATATTTTAAAAAAAAAGAAAAAAGAAAATTCCTTGTCCATGTGTATGTCCAATACAATGCCCATACAACAAGTAACCTTTAGTTTAAGCCCAGTTCATTTCAAACAAATTTAAATGTTCAATAGTGCTTTCCATGTTGATCTTCTCTACTTACTTTTAGAGGCCCTGCTATATTATTTGATACTTTTTATGGAATAATTTCCACTTCTAAAATAAAATATTGGAAGTTATGTTATTGTTCATACACACACATGCACACACACACACAAACATACGCACACACACATACGCGCGCGCGCACACACACACATGCCTGATAAATTTTGATTAATTGGACTATGAGATGCTTACCAGGTTATCCTATTTCTTATACATCTTATTGTTCACATATATGAAATGATTTAGCTGTTTATTATATAATTGTCTAACCCAGCGGTGTCAAGCTCAAGGTCCGGGGGCTGGATCTGGCCCACAGGGTGCTTAAATCTGGCATGTGAGGCTGACCTGGAAACAGCAAAGGATTGGCCTGCAGTGCCTCTACCAGTGAAAATGGATCTCGGAAGGTTTATTTGGCACTCCCAACCTTTGTTTTGGCTGGTAGAGAGTTACAGAAGGCCATCCCAGCCGAAATGAAGCTTGGGAGCCTGTTTTTGCTGGCAAAGCGCTCTGGCCACCCCAGGCGCTCCTGACACAAGTGACATCAAGCTGGCCATGCCCACCCCAACCCCTCAAGGTGAAACACAACCCTGATATGAAATTGAGTTTGACACCCCTGGTATAACCAATACAAAGAAATATTGTCCAAGGTTAGAAAAATTGGGTCTGGTAAAATATTAAACAGTTGGCAGTAATATCTAATATTACTGAATTTGTATTATTTTTGCATTTTTATAAAAATATCCCACTAAACATTTGCAAAACTTTTCAAGTACAGAACATACTTAATGGAAAAACAAGTGAGGATTATACAATTGTCTATGCTATTTGTATATGCATTTGATAAAAATTTCTGTTAGTAAAAATGCAGGTGATGGCATGATAATGAGATGCAAAGCTTGGCCTTTAACTTTGGAATACAAGTAATTTAGTTATGTTGTGACACATTTTGTATCTCTCCATGTGCCCCATACAGATGCTGCATACACTTACTTTACTTCCAAGCACAATTCATTTTCTTTTAACAAGAAGAAAATGTTTTTTCTTTCTTTCAAGATTCCTGTCTTATTTTTTTTTGGACTCATTGGTTCCCTCTTTTCTTTTCTCCCAGGAGGGTCATAAAAATTAAAGTATTTTTTCCTCATTGTTATTAACTATCATTGATTAAGGTAACATAGCAAGATAAAACCGTTTAAGTGCAGTTTATTGACTATTCATAATGAGCTGAGTTAAACAAAATACTCTAAGCGATAAACTATGATTTATAATCTATAATGACTGGGTTCCCAAAATATGAGGAAAACTAAAATGTTTGATAAGTATATCATATATATTCCTATCTGAATCCAGACATCCAGGTGAATGGACTCAATTTTCTTATAATTTCCATTCATCCTTTTCCTTCCACATTTCCCAGCATTATAGATTTCTCAAGACAGCTTTGCATCTTGAATTGGGTCTTTATACAATATGTCCAAAATATGATAATTTGAATCCATCTATGTGTTCCTTGCTTGAAAGCTCTAGATAGTGTTGCTATTGTTGTTGTAGTAGTAGAATCTATCTGTTAGCTTTCCTAGGATATCCTAGTATTCTCAATAGTCATCTCCAACGCCAAGTTTAAAAGCAAAACTCCTCCTTTCTGAAAATCTTCTGTTGAGTACTGTAGGGAAAACTTGTATGATTCTGTAAGCATAGACATATAATGATATCTGAGTATCTTTTAAAGGCCTTCTTTACTACACTATTGTGTTGGTCTATACAGCATATTGGTGGACTATTGGTTACCTGTTGTTGATAATTAATACTTAAAGACAGAAACTATTCTTCACTTTAATTTCTTACTGTTGATTCTAAGGATATTTGCTGTATTATGATCACAGCTTGGTGTTAGATATATGTTCTTTTCACTATGCTCTTTAACTTTCATTAGTACTTACAGACATTTACATGTTCAATGATCAGATAGTGTTATCTGAAAGAGCCAAGGTGGCGCAGTGGTTAAATGCAGCACTGCAGGCTACTGCTAGATCAGCAGGTCA